TTTAAGGGGACGCTGAACCAAAATTTGGATTTCGTAAGAAAATCCCACAGAAGCGTTGAGCGGGACGAGCTTCAAAACATCACTCATACATCGATATCTTAAATGGCCGTATTTATTGAAAAGAAGGGCGCGATCGAGCGAAGACTGTGACGTCATGATTCCCCTGGAACAGTTGAGAATGAGGGGAAGCGTCTTTGCTTTTCTCCTTCTCGCCTCAAGGGGTCGAAGCGAAGAGGAAAGGGAATGAGTGAGACGGGTCTCGTCGGCTTCGTCGGCCATGTTCAATCGCGGACTTCTTTTCCGAAAATACGGCCAACCGAGAGGTAACGCTGTATGTTTTGTTTTTTTAATTTTTGTTTTGCAGCGTCCCGTTTATCGCTCCAGCCTTATTTTGTGAGCTCCAAATTTCGGTTCAGCATCAGGGAGGGGGGGGGGGGGGGGGGGAAGGGCGGCATTTAGATTGATGCATTAGCAGATACGAACGATGGGGGACGACTCACGAGGCCGGAAACGCGAGCATAATACGCACTGCTTTTCTTTAGATATATGTGTGACTCTTAGCGGCGTGCACGAACAACAGCGTCGCTGCGGTCGCAATTCAGGATTGGCCAAACGCTCACTGTGACGTCGTTATCTGGATTATTTTTGCTTAATCGACGGAAATCAACGCAATGTCAGAGTGTCAACAGTGATGATGCATGGTTTAAGAATACGATGACTAGCTAGAAGCTTCTCTATTGTTATCTTTACACACACCGCCGAAGTTGTAGTTCGCGACTGATGTTACGTGGTCGAAGATTACACCGCATGACGTGCGGCGAGAAAAATTATGGTCGTGACGTCACGAACGGAAACCACAACATTTTGGCGCTAATAGGGTGCAAAATTCGCAAAAATTAAATCGGCAAAAAATGTAGATGTTCCAAATGTGTAATTTCGCGCTCCACGGTATATCACCGTGTAGCGGAAAAAGCGTCCAAGGCTGGTTCTTGCGGCGGTTTCAGCCTTGTTTGCGATACATACGGCATTTTCCCTACTCCAGTGGAGGTATAGCTGATTCTGGAAACCTCTGTGGCATAACTCCTTTGGGAAAACGCGAAATAATAGATACCCAGCCGGACGAAGACAGAGAACACAGTGTCTGCCTCTGTCGCTGTATGTTTCTATTTTTTTTAAACGAGGAATATTTACATTTATAATGAAATTAAATGCAAAGGTGCAAGCGAGCTGGGCAAGAATGACGAAAATAATCCCTGGAGAAGGGGAACAAGAGGGACAAAGGACAAACACAAATCTCCAAACACAGCTAGGTGACTGGTGCGCGACCGAAAGAATCCGCCTGGTCCGAGTATTGAACCCGGGACCTTTGGTAACCCCTGGTTAGCTCAGTTGGTAGAGCGCTCCACCTGTAATGGAGAGGTCCCGGGTTCGATACCCGTACCAGGCGGATTTTTTCAGTCGCGCGCACCACTCACCTAGCTGTGTTTGGAAATTTGTGTTTGTCCTTTGTCCCTCTTGTTTCCCTTCTCCAGGGATTATTTTCGTCATTCGTCGTCGAATATTCATATATGGCTGCTACCTAACCGTTTCCGGTTCGCATTCCTAAAACGGAGAACAAGACACCGACTGCCAGCCGAAAGCTCACACAACGCTAGTCTCCTCACTGATTGGATGTCGCAGGTGAAGGTCCTGTTCGACTACCGTATTTTACGGATTCTAGTCCGCACTGTATACGAAAGTTTAAATTTTACGTGGTCCGGAGTATTTACATAGGTGCGAACTTACAGGAATTTTGTTTTTCAAGATCGTTCGTCATGACCAGACGTGACGAATTTCGCGAGTGAAAGGGTACGTTGGGGATGATTTCGGTATGACATCAGCTTCTCTGTGAGCTAAGAAAGCAGGCATTTGTCAAAGTGTGCAGCGTATAATACGGTTTTCGTGTCGGCTAAGCACCAGATGCGAACTACCCTAACACTTTTTTTTTTTTTTTACTCCACATTTGCCCCTGGATGCCGAGTATAGTACAGACAATGCTGCATATCCAACACTTAAAAAAAAAAAGGAGTAGAACTTACACCCCTTGTCACATATACGACACCGCAAAACTTTAGTTCTCCGTACAGCGCACTGAAATCAAGCTGACGGCCCCAACTTTTACGAGAGGCTTGATGACGGTGAGATGTAAGATATTAAACACCTAGAGTACGCACCAAAGAGTACAGAAAGAAAACACCGATGTTTTGAAGTAGGACCAAGAAAACCCCGATAACTTATTTTACAGTCAGTTACTCTTACGTAGGCTATTTTAATACGTAGTACAACTCGGCTATGAAGCCGCTCGTGAAAGTTGATAGCGTCGGTTGAACGTCAATGCGCTGTACGTCAAACTAAAGTTTAGGGGTGTCGTATACTGTAAATGACTTAATTTTCGCGGGCTCAAATTTCCGCGAATCGGGCCAAAGCTGAAAATTTGAAATTATTCGCGGGTTCTAATTTTCGCGAATCGAGTGTAGCTTCCGTAGCGTTCACAGATTGCCCGAATTGTTCGTGGGACGCATTTTTCGCGAATTGTAGGCGATTCGTGAAATTCGCGAAAATTAGGTTTTTGCGAAAATTAAGTCGTTTAATGATAAGGGGTGAAAAGGCTACGCCCCTTTTTTTGAGTGCGAAGTTCCTCCCTCCCCGCGTGTCACATCACGTGGTCAAACATAGATCGACGTTAGCAGGGGCTAAAAGAGCGAGCTTCGGGCTTTCCTTGAGAGAGACAGAACGCAAAAGAGGGCGACATACATACAAACAGTGTTGTACACTCTCGAAAAAAAGGGTGTAAAGGGTGTATCGTTATGTCCTTTGTCCCATATTATACACCCCAAAACTTCATTCCCACGTACAGCGCACAATAGTCGAACTAATTTTACGAGGGGCTTGATAACGGTGCGATATAACTTTTTGAATAGCTAAAGTATACGTATCAAAGACCACATAAAGGAAACACCGAGTTTTTACAGTAGGGCCAAGAAAACCCCGATTATTATTTTTTTTTTGTAGTCAGTAACACGTGCATTAGCTATTTTAATAAGTTGTACCACACGACTATCAAGCCCCTCGCAAAATTTCGGGCCGTCTGTTCGACTGTAGGGCGCTCTACGTCGAATTGAAGTTTTGGGGTGTATTATATGGGACAAAGGGTGTAACTATACACCCTTTTACACCCTTTTTTCTTGAGAGTGTAGGCGTTACTGAAACAAAGTAACGAAATACGTTACTCGTTCTTTGCAATTAAAAGGAAAGCGTTACTCACCTACGCTACCTCAAAATAAGAGGAACACGTTACCGTTACCGATAAAAAGTAACTCACGTTACTCTTGCTTTACTTCGTTATGAATACTGTTTTGACGGTGCAAATATGCTTCCGCGCCACATTTCAAGAAACATAATGCCCATCCAGACACTGAACATAATTACCGTATCTTTTTTACGGTTTCAAGTAAGAAAAAAAGCAAAATAACGCAAAAAATAAAAAAAATCACTTGCATACGGCTCCTAAAAAAATAAAAAATAAATTAAAGTCTATTTTTTTAAGTTTTGGAAAGAAGTTTTTGAAAAAGTAATGAGTAGGTTACTACGTTACCGAAAAAAAAGTAACGCGTTACCAACAACACTGCATAAAAAAAAAAAAAAAAAAAAAAAAAAAAAACAGACGATGCGCCTGGTGTTTTTACTCTACCGCGACGAGTTGTGATGGGTCGAGTAGTTAACTTTATTTATTCATTTTTTTCACAACGCGCGGCGTCGGTGTTTTTGTGCAAAATAAACCTGAAAACAACTAGGCCGAAACAACCTTGCAAATGATGTTTGGTGGCTTTGTTGCGTATACAAACGAGTCCAAGAGTGGGACGCAGCGCTGAGCATCTCTACTTAGCCGACGCTGAGCTGATTGGACCAATCTTGTCGTCAAAAGCACGCCAACATGGTGTTCGTCCCGTTTCTGTACCTGTTAAATCATCGCTGAACCAATCATCATGTACAGGGAAGGCCCAGTGATTTGCGCTTGGGACACTGTTTGATTTGTCCGACCAGCTCGTCGTCGGCTGCGTCCGGTGAAACGAAATATGAGTCGTCGCTGCATCACATTTATACCACTGCCTTGTCACGACAGAGGGAGAAAGGTGATTTTTTTTTTCTCTTTAGCAACACGCTCCTTGTTTATTGTAAACCTCTTCGTTATTTTTTTAATAAAGTTTTTTTCTATGCAAAAACAAATTACAGAAAGTAGTGAAAAAAAAATACGGACGTTTCCGCGCCAATAACTTCAGCTCTTGAGGCCAATTACGAGGCTTTTCCTTGAGCCCGATGGTAACCGTTCTGTCTCGCGACCTCGCTCCATAACCGTTTCTTCTCGTGACTTGCTTTACGGAGCTCTAAATGGTGGGGAAACTGGCATGGCGTGCGTTAGAATGACGCCTAGCTGGTATTGTAGAGAGCGACCCGAGTACGTTGGATATGGTAAGATGCAGACCATTCCAATAATCGTCTCTTGCGAGCTGCCATCTTTGTTTACCGCGCTGGGGCGCAGGTTCTGAGCACGCGCAGTGACTCTCCTGAGCTAATTCAGACATTGCTCCTGCGTCCACATCCCAATGTCTGAACAATTTGTATCCGGAAAGCGGTAGAGGCCATTCCAATAGTCAGTTTCTACGGGCTGCCATTTTTGCCTATATTGGGCTGCGCGTTCTGAGCACGCGTATAGTTGCTCTCTTCTGTCGATTGTCAGGCGCAACGCAAGCCTTCCTATCCCAGTGACGGCATTTTGTTTTGCAAAGGTCAATAGACATTTCAGCTAACCGCCATCTTGGCGGTTACATCTTTGCCTACCGGGCTATGGAACGGGTTTTGATCACGTGCAGTGGCTCTCTTCTACGGAACCTCAGGCTCCGCGCATACGTCCACATCCCACCGACCCGGCAATCTTGTCGCCTGGAAAGCTATGAACATACTTGAAGTGCGATAGAGAGCGCCACGCAGGCGACGGTGAGCCCGAAGAAGCGGTTGACCTCCGGCCCCTCGTGCAGGAGGTGCTTGAGCTGGGACGCGTTGGCAGTGAGCAGGGCGATGTCCATCATGCCCTGGGCGATGCTCTTCTTGGTCGCGTACAGGTTCACGTCCATGCAGCGAACACGGGGCTTGACCGGTCCGTCCGAGTTACCGGGATTCATCGGGGGAAACCGGGGCTCAGAGAATCCCCGGCCGTTGTCCGGACTGCCCTGCAAGGTGGGTTCGCGAGGGAGGTTTAGGCCGCGGATCTTGGTTTACGTGTTCGTGGAATTTGATGTAAATGCATTCAGTATGGGCGCTATCGAAAACGCTATTCTACTGTTCACAACAACAGCTGTGGGGTGTTGCCTTGGTATGTCTTCTGTTGCATTAGTAGAAGAGAAAAAGTCTGATGTCATCGAACTCGTCGCTCAAAGTTTCTACCTACGCGTATAGACGTCTGGCACGTGAATACGCTTTCAAAGTTTTGTGCATGGCTACACGAGGCAGGGGCAGAGCCGGGCAGGGGTAGGAGCAAGTAATTTTAGAACGTGCTTTCGTTACGTGAGGGCTCGTGCATTTCAAGCTTTTTGTGTACAGCCGTTGCTGGACTATAGCGCGCTGGACGGGATTTCTACGGCAAACCGGACGGCCGTGGAGCCACACAGCTACACTCCGGAGTTCGTGTCTTCATCACCGGGCTTTTGAAGACCTCAGATAGCGCGTGTTTGTGCCGGTTGTCGAAGTCACAAGCCGCTTAAAAAGACGAACAAAGGGAATTGTGACCTGCATAATTACCCATGGAGGGTATCGCTTCGGATCATACACCTAGTGATATGCAATGCTCGTCAAGATCACGCCCGCTTAGCGCATATCGAAACACGTACAAGGTAGAAGTCGTAAGATTCGCAGCGCAATATACAGCAGCCATTGCACCTATAAGCTGAGACTGCAGAGGGAACTACATGCCCGCCGGACCAATCAACCGCCCTCCCTCTTATCACGTGACCCAGCTCCCTACGCGTGGGCACGGGCGGGAGCGGGACCACGTGGCGAAAGAGTGGCGTATGCCAGCGAGGACGTAGCTTCCACCGCAGTCTCAGCTTAGGGGTGAACGGACTACTGGAGCAGTTTGAACAGTTTGAACGCACAAAGAATTTCCCGCGGGGCGAACGAAACGACGGACACCAGGGGCGCCCTAATGAGCGTTTCGTTTGCCTAATTACGGGTCAGCCGCACGATTCGATCTCAACTGAAGGACGGACGCAAACATTAAGAAAAAGATTTGGAGTGAATACATCCCGCAAAACGAACCACCCCAAACGGAGGACACTTTGTCAACCGCACTTAACGTTTCGGTTTCGTTAGCCACGCAATGTTTGTCCTTTTCTCTTTCGGTTTCGGTATGAGAGCGCGTCCGAGCTGGCGGCGCGAAGTCTGCCGCAGACTCTCATCGACCTCTTTGGCGACCGCCCACGCAGACCGAGCGGCGCCCGCCGATGGCGATGAGTCACGCAGAGCGCCATGCATCTCTTCAGAAGGCTCTTCCTCTCGTGTCTTCTTTTTTTCTTTTATTTTTTATATAAACTACATTATGTTTTTATCCGTACAATGCATACGACGTCTTCGGTTCATTGCCATGGTGACGCTCTCTCATCGCGCAGTGACCCCTTAAATTGGATCTACTTCCGGAATTCTCTTATCGTACGGAGGCGGTGTCGTGAACTGTTGCGTTTGAACTGAACGTCCGGCCCCGCGCGAGAGTGCAGTCCCTTAGTTGATTTTATCTTACGTGAACCAACATTTTCTACAGAAAAAAAAGAAAATAATGTGTCCAATAAACGTATAAGTATATGTAAGATGGTATAACAACCTATACACGGCATAGAATTCGTGTAAGTGTTTGTATCAGGGGTTTCCCCAGGAATTGAAATTAGGGGGCGTGTCTAAATGTTTAAGGGGGGGGGGGGGGGGGGGGAGTTAGGCGGGGCATTGAGAATAGAGGAGTCCTTGCGAACTAAGAGGGTGCCTTCAGAAAGACAAGGGGGAGGGGGGGGGGGGGGGAGGGGGGGTTGTACACCCCCCTAGGAGTGTAGGGAGATCACTGGTTTGTATGTTTAGTGAGCACATCATAAAAAGTAAATATAAAAAGTCTGTCCAACGGAAAGTTAGTGTATTTATCTGTCATCACGGAGTACTGTTTCACTACCCTTTAGTGCGAATACCGCCAGTTCAGTGTAATCCCCAACCAGTTTTAAAAACAGAGTTTGCATAAAGCGAAGAAAAACAATGTTCTCTCAAAATTAAATCATGTTTAGTCATGATTGATCATGCTCACACCAGGACTCAAATGAGGCCTGGATGTGGGGTGCTTATTTAAGTAAATTAGAGTGATCCCTCTTTTCCGTTAGCACGTGGTGACATACAGCTTTGTGCGAGCACTGAACCAATACGCGGTATGCTTATATAAGTGAATCAACGTCTCCACTTAATACAAACAAAATACTTTTTCACGATCGTATCGCGAATGCTGTAACTCGCAGGTTCTGGTGATTTAAAATAGACTTTAATTCATTCCCGAGTCGCGACACGAATAAAGTACACTCGCTCCGTCCGCGCGCCTCGGGCTAATTAATTGTGGAAAGCAGCCAACGGGATCCGGCGAGGCAACATCCCGGAATAGAACAAAAAAGCGGCAGTGTGCCACATACAATCGGTCGCGTCGTGCATCGCAATTCCCGCACCCTTCCCGCGGAATCTGAGACCGCCAATTCCACCACCGCGGCGATGGATCACTTGGAACCAATTGCGTTTCGAATATCTACTACTATGCTCACTCACAGGATGAGATCGGCAGGGTGGTGCTTCAATTGTCCCGCTTACAGCGCGAGCTTCTCTCAGCTTCGGCAATGCTTCGGCGTCCCGTGAGCTTCAGGCGTGCACACACGCGTAGCAGAAGCACTACAGAAGGCAACGAGCCCGTGCCTGAGATGGGGCATTTGAAGGAGATGCCCTGCCGTTCTAATCCTGCCAGGAACTATACACGCGTCCATAGTTGGTGACAGGTTAAGACGCCTTCCGTCGTGCTTCGGCTGTGCGTGCTTTCGAGACGCCGAACGAAGCGTTATCGATGGTATATACACGAAGCTCCCGCTGCAGCCGGAGCGTCTGCTCCAGATCCTATATGCTTGTTGCAAGAGACTAAAGATAGCGTTCTCTCGTGGAGCGTTTGGCCCAAGCGTGTAAATCTGGCGGTGGTCCACTCTACCTCTCGTTCGAGAAGGCCCCGATCCGGAGGTTCGCGCAGTTCCTCGCTGAGCGTCGCCGTGCCGCTCGCCATGCCGCTGCCGTCCCGCACAACCTTGAAGCGTGCAATGGTGACGGTGTCCAGGAAACAGCCAGGTTCGCGAAACTACCTCCGGGTTGTGCAACGACGGACTCGAGTATCGGGCAAATTTGCGCCGGATATCCCACAACACGCCGTGTGCGCTGGGCAGCGTGCGCTAACAACGCGGTCGCTCCTCCACGGCAACGCCTAGGGAATATCTAGAGATCACCCGGGGAAAGCGAAGGAGGTCCGAGGGACGAAGAAGCATAGAGAGGGAGAAAAACTCTATAAGGGTTCCCTAGCAGGGGACAGCAGGTGTCCGGAGATCTTTGGTGTGTTTCGTGCGTTATTTCATTTTATTTAATTGGTTCTGTTTCAGAGGAGTCCGATGTAGGTCATACAGTACGTAGGCCTGTACTGGTTGACCTGCACACATTTGGTATCTGCCTTATCGAAGGCAACATTTAGGCAGGCATTTGTGTAAGGGGTGCAAAGGGAGACGCCCTTTTCTAAAGAAACTTGCTTAGGGAATTGATTAGTCCCTGAGGTTGTGAAGAAATACTTGTGCTATTTGTGAGTCAGGACACGGTTAATGTGTTTAGAACACAATTTTTAACGCAGGTTATTTATATCTAGATTATGAGAATAATAAATACTTATAAGATTATATAAATGCGCGCTTTCCCGGTGCACACTCTATGCCCCCCAATTTTTATTGGGAGAATGAATGTGCGTCGAACTAGAGCAAAAAAAAAAATAATCAAATTGAATGATGATGATAGCAAGTCGTAGCCATTTGGTTGCTGCGCGTGAAAGCGAGCGGCCCGTGTTGCTGGTTTCGCGACGTCAAGTTGCTGGGTGAAATTGCCCCGTCTGAAGCGGGCCTTACTCTTTTTCTTCCGTTTCTAAGATGCCCTTCGTACAAGTTTCCCACTAAGGAATCCTCGAAAGACTCGTTTTCAAACTGGCACCAAAATTTGTCGTGTTGAAAATCCGAAGTAATCAGAAAAGTAGCGGTTACTTTTTCAAGTAACGGCCAATTGCTTTTCGCCTCGAGTAACCAAATAACCCAATTAAACACTTTTTAAGCGAGAGTAATTGTATTTTTAATTGATTTGTTTTCTCGAGTAACGAGCACGCTTCTGCAGCCGGTTTAAAACTTCCCTCTCTAGGTACCAAGTCCTTTTCTAGGGACATCGCGGGGTTTCTTTTAGGGAAACGAGAGAAGGCGTCCGATTTGCTGCGTGGCCAGACCACCTGATTCCCTAGCGTGAGATCAGTGTCTGTCCGCGGCTTGGCGGAAACCGGTTGTCTGGTGCTAGCCTCTTTTTTACGCGTGCTTTTGTGCCATTTATTTCTATTCCACGTTTGTTTCTGTGCTTGAACCTTTGCTGCTGCCTACGCGCGCAAGTGGCCTGTCAAAACAGACGTGTCCCGTGGGCTGTGTTTGTTCGCGTTCGTGCATGTAACATCTGTCCGCCGTTAGTACGTGGAATAAAAAAACAAAAACTTAAAGCCTCGGCTTGCAGAGTTGCTACTTGTGATCGGTGCTGACAAATCTTGTTGTATTTAGAATACGTTTTGATCTGTGGCATCCTGGATGTCTTCGGTCACGTGGGGGGCTTTGGGTGTTACCTGCCGTGCGGGTTTACGTGCCTCTAAATTTAGTGTCACACGTTTGCGCCCGGGAAAGAGAGGGGTGATTCAAGAACGTGATCGACGTTATTAATAGGATTCACTTTTATATATATGCGTAGTACGTGCTGGACTCCCGATAAGTGGTGGTCTCCTGAGTTGTGTACCAGTCGATTATCTACGGTAATGTTGCCATTGTTGAAATATGCAGGTGATGGAGTGCATAAGGCACTTTCATCGGAGATAATATTGTCAGTTTGAATTGGAATACTCTCATAGGCCAACTGCTGAGCATATTAAAGAAATAAAAAAAAGTTAAAATAATATTATTTCAACTCAGTACCCATTTTCTGAATGTAAAAATTTGGATCGGTAATATTAGTGCTATCTCTACGCCAGAAAAATTTTAGGGAAAGAGAAACAGATGTAAATAAAAAAAAAAAACATTTCAGACGAACTAATGCAGAATTGGTTAATTCCCCAGAAGATTTATAGACCACAAAATAATAACAAACTCGAACTTCAAGAACCAACATAGAGCCTGTTTATCATCCATTACCGTAGACAAGACAAGGGAGCATGATACAAGATACTCACTTAGACAGAAATCCCGAATAAAACAAACTATTATTTTGTGCGCAATTCTTACCTTTTTTTTTTCTTTCGGGACGGGCAGAAACAACTAACAGACGTGGAGTGCTGAATACGTGCTATGTCACCCAAGGGCTTGAAGTATCTTGTGTTTTTCTCGCATTTGTGAATTGTTATAAAAAACACTTGTTCATAACAATGAGAAAACCCGGGTTCATATTGACGAGACCAAAACTGCATATTTACCAAGGTTTTTTTCTACGGGTTTCTCTAATAACGGGGTAGAATTGTAAAAGGAAAGGCCGGTCCCCCAAATTTTGTTCTCTTTAGCATGGTGTTTATATGAACGGGGTCCATATTAACGAGACAAGACCGTACTGATTCTTTCATATGGTATTACGTGATGGGTTTCCCATGAGTCATGTTTTTTTGGCAAGTTGCGTTGACGAGATACGCACAGGTGGCAGGCTACGTATTCGACATGCAACAATAAAAACACTTTTCGCGTGAACACAAAGAAGTACAGTGAACCGGGAGGTTCACTGTTTAGGTGTAAACCGTAGTACGAAAACTGAGTACACGATACTCCCATAGGTTTACGTTCGGCTCTTTAGCTTTATTAGACAATGGCCTCACAACCCCAATTTTCAATTAGGGTCAGATTGTTGCAGAACAATATCAGATTGTGCCATTCTATTTCCCGAAAGATTATATGGTCTCAATACATCGACCTTGGAAACTAGGATGATTTAATATCACGTGTACATCAGAATGCAGCCCCACATATTTCGTGGTATGCTAATAATACATTTATGTGGGCCTGATGCCCGTTTGTTGTAATAGGAGAAAAAGTCGACAAAACTTTGTGTTTATGTAGGTTTCCAAAAGAGTAATTTGCTCTCTTTTTGCTATAAATAACTTTTTAAATATAGTTTATTGTTTTAATTTTTAGGATCTTCTAAACCTGTAGCCGCAATATGTTATTTTTGGTGGGAAAATGTAAACAATTATTAGTGTTCTCTAGCTAAGTAACAACGTTATTAAATAGCAATGAAGCCAAGAATGCCACTCTGAGTAATTCCTTAATTCAGCCCTTACTTACACATTGTTTTATTTCTACCACCTTACTTCTGTAAAAATATCTATAATATAGCCACAATGTATTATCTAAAACCTAATACATTTATTATTATTTTTAAACATTTTTGATTGATCGAGGTACGTCAAATTAGTTCGAAGTTTTATAAAAGAAAACAATCAAATGAAAACAGAGCAATGTAGTCTAATGTCAGGCTATGTTCAGAATACCAATAAAATCTTTAAGCAAGAACTTTTAATTTTTTGCTCCCTAATATTATATTGATATTAATTAATTAAAGCGAATTTATGACAGAAAAATACGCTTTTGTGATGGCGGCAATAAAGTTTAAAGCAATATAAGAAATCCCCGGCAGAGGATAGCGGTATGTTGTCTCTCCCGTTTATTTTACTCCCCCTTTAAATAACGGGTACACTAGCGCGCTTCCAGATCTTATGCTGCACTCACACTGGCGTTCGAATCGCAACCGCGAAGCGGATCAGCTCGATTTCATCATCAAATGCGCGTGAATTTGTACCGCTTCTTTTAAGCAACCGCGTTCACAACCACTTTGCGGATGCAGTCGACTCGCCAGTGTAAATGCGGCGTTCGGGTGTAAACTCAACATAAATTATAAAATTTAACAATGCTAGTACCAGTCAAGACAAAACAGCATCATATAGGCCGCCGAATAGACCGATCTCAGCAGCTAGTTTGAGTACGCCACCGCTGCCGACATGCATCGTGGGAGCTGTAGTCTTTCTGCATGCGCGACAACCCTGCTGGAGGTCTGCGCGAGCAGAGCACGAGGCGGCATGAGCTGTCTCGTGAACTGGCGTTTACCTCCTACGAACTACAGCTATGGCGGCGCCACGCATGCGTGGAACGCTTGGTGAGATCGGTCTATTGGGATTACCATAGAAGTAATTTTTATTATTTTACTACTCGACGAAGTTGGATATAGTGTGTTTTTTTTTTGTCCGAACAGCTCAAAGTAGAAGTTACCTATTTAGTAGGCGTTGGCAGTGAACTAATCTAATGAGAAATGTAAATTTAGACTCGCTGATTACGTCATTCTTAAAAGCTCACTTAATTATAATGCATCAGTCAATCTTTACAACACGATCTAAATAATCTTGATATTTTTCCCCTTTAAACTGAAGATAACGTGGTCGTGCTTTAGGTGACAATTCATCTGGGCACCTCTGCATTTGCTAAGTCTATGACCAAAATGCACACGGAGGGGTTGTTCTTCTCAGCTATTGATAACGGGTTGACACCAAGCCACCAAGTTATATCGTATTTGCTCTAAATAAAACCCAGAGGTTTTTTTCAGTTCTCATTCATTTTCAAGTTTCATCATATGCGCCACGATTTAAACATTTACTGCTATATTGAATGGCCACGGCGAGACTGAAGGGAGAATGTTTGCCAAATATTCGTTCTTTTTTTTCTTTTGCACAGATTAGTCAATATATTTCATGCTTGAGAACTAGCAATACGTTTCTTCTGATTGTGCTCTGCCCACGGACTTGTCTTGGTATAGCATACGATTGCTTGAATGCGTGCAAATTACTTGTTTCCTGGTCCTACGACGAAGGAAATGTTTGCTGTATTGGATGGCCAAAACGCCATACGCATTAAAATCGCTGGCATTCAAGCTCAACAGGGTAAAACTGAAAGTATGATCAGTGATCTTTACAAAAAGTTTAATAATATAGACAAGCTTCTGCAGGAACTCAGGGTTAAGGGTGATAAGATCGATGCCTTCGAAAGTATTGTTACTTCTCTTGAAAGGAGCATAAATGTCCAAAACAAGAAGATTGCAGCTTTGGAAAACTGATAAAACTGAGAGGCAATTGAGAAACAAAGTCATCTCTGATGTGCTGGTCAGCAGGTTGGGCGTACAATGTTC